TCCTCCTATTATTTGCTAAATTTTATTCATGAATTATACCTTGTTTCGCCAAAGTTGTTTGGCAAGAATATAATTCCAAAAGCTCGTCATTACTAAATGTGAGTAAACCAAAATTCGTGTTCAAAAATTTCGTGTAACCTTTAAATTTAAAATTTGTTCATTTTTTCTGAAAACAGCAATAATTATATGAATTTTGTGATAAGCAATTGTTCAGATATTAAATTATTAAGTCAGCTTCTTCTGAAATTAGTGATGAATGGTCAAAAACATCATAATAAATTATTGCATTAAATCCATATTTTTAAAATTTGAAAATATCTAAACGATTTGTTAAAATTAATTTCTAAGAAATATAATGATTTACTTGAAACTGGAGAATTTTCAGATATTGAAATATTGGTCAGAGAGGAATCAAATCCCAAAATGTTAAACTTACATTCTTGCATCTTAAAACTTCGTTCAAAATATTTTTGTACCTTATTAACTGGTAATCGCATTAAAACTAAGAATAACGTTATTAAACTTCAATATCCTGGTATTTCTGTTAAAATTTATGGAAATACTTATCAAGTAAGAAAGTGTTAACATACTTTATTTAATATTCTATGAACTAACGACTTCAATTTTATAAATAGGTACATATATTGCGGTTTAATTGACCTTGTATCTAAAGATACTAAAACAATTATTATAATCTTAATCAGTGCTTATGAATTAAGTTTAATTGAATTATAAAATTATATTAAAGATCATCTATTACAAGATAAAATATCATTGATACAAAATTTTATTTTCATTCAAAATGTTGTATTTAACACAATCGTTTTAAAAAATTAACATAATTCTACGAAAATACTTTTCAACAAGATCTTCATTGATTTTTAAAGCGGATGATTTTATAACTATTAAATATAACATTCTACTTGACCTTCTTACAAATGATATATATTCTTTAAAAACTATTGAAGTTTGGAACAAACTCATTGAATGGAGCATTGCTCAATCTAATAGATTACTACCATCTAATGCTACTACCTGATCTGTTGATAATATTTTCACATTTGAAGATTTAATACAACCTTTATTTCTTACATCAACTTTAAAGCTAAAGCTCCGCATAAGCTGAGCCGCTTGCAAACCAAACGAGCTAGCTTGTTTAGGCTCGGCTTGAGCCACCATAAAATGAGTCACGAATCAGACAAGCCAGCTTGTACTGTAGCTTGGCTCATGCTGCAGCTCAGCTCATTGGCTTGTATTTTCTTCTTTGAAAAAAATAAATCCAAAGGCAGTTTTTCTTCGAAGAAAGCTGCTCTGATGGCGTTTACTTAAAGAAAAATGGCCCTAGTAACGTTTTCTTTGAAGAAAATAAACCCAGTGGCATTTTCTTTGAAGAAAAATGAACCTGATAACATTTTTCTTTGAAGAAAAATGCATACAGAGCGTTTTCTTTAAAAGAATTTGCTTCCAGAGCGATTTCCTTAAAGGAATTCACTTCTGAAACATTTTCTTTAATAGAATTCACTTTAGAGCGTTTTCTTTAAAAGAATTTACTTCCAAAGCATTTTCTTTAAAAGAATTCGCTTTCAGAACGTTTTCCTTGAAGGATTTCACTTCCAGAGCGTTTTTTTTAAAAAAATTCGCTTCCAGAGCAATTTCCTTGAAGGATTTCACTTCTGGAGCGATTTCTTTGAAAGAATTCGCTTCCAAAGCGTTTTTCTTGAAGGGATTCGTCTCTGTGGCTTTTTCCTTTGAAGGAATCGTATTCAGAGGCGTTTCTTTGTCAGAAATTTTGAAGAAAAATGCCTCTGAGGCGATTTGCATTTCCAGAGGCATTTTTTCCTAAGAAAAGCACTTCCAGAGGCGTTTCCCTTCAAGGAAATAGCCTTTGAGGCGTTTTTTCCTAAGAAAAACACTTCTGGAGGCATTTTTTTTCCAAGAAAAGCACTTTTAGAGGCGTTTTTTTAAAAGATAACTACTTCCAGAGGCGTTTCCCTTCAAGGGAATAGCCTCTGAGGCATTTTTCCTAAGAAAAACACTTCTAGAGGCGTTTTTTCAAAGAAAACCACTTCTGGAAGTATTTTCCTTGAAGGGAATAGCCTTTGAGGCGTTTTTTTCAAAGAAAAACACTTCTAAAGATGTTTTCTTTAAAGGAATTAGTCTCTGTGGCT